ATCGCCTGCTTCTCCAACGACCACCCTAGCCTGAGCTACTCCTCCGCCCTCGCCCTAACCTCTACCCTCTCTAATGCTAACAAGCGCAGGAAGCCCACACCCTGCTCCTCCGACCTCCGACAAGTCGCCTTCGTTGATCCCGGCGACGCGCTTCTCATGTGCGACGCCGTTCACCGGACCCGGATTCTCTACGAGTCGATCCGAACCCACTTGCTCCAAGAAGAGGAGTCCTCTCCTCTCCCCGCGGGAAGAAAGTCCTGCACCGATCTCAACGCGGCGACGATCATGAAGAACGTCAATCTATGGTTGAATCAAGAGAGCAGAACAGGAACGCCAGTCTCAAGGTCCACATTGAGAGGGGACTACGCAAGACTCAATTTCCCTAACCTAAAGCATACTCATCTGGCTGGCAACCCTCTGCACTTGTTTGTTGATGCCAAGCTCCAAGCAATTTGCCAGACCCTAGAGAGCTCTAGGAAGAAGAAAGTTAGCATCGAATCGAAGCCTGAATCGGTTGTTTCATTGCTGACCGTTGAGACTGAGGAGTCATGTTCTTCTTCTTCTGTGGTGACGGGGGCAACGAGTTTTACGGTTTCAGAGATCGAGAGCTTGGATTTCAACGAGGTGCTGTGGGACGATGTCGAGGACTTTGTGTTGAGGAAATACTCAACTTATGAGATTGATTGGGATTCTATATTCTCTTCAGCTTAGTGGTGTCTGGTTTGTGTTGTGCTTGTTGTTGTTAGATTTGGGGGTCTTTAGTGGCTGGGGGGGAGGGGGGTTTTGGCATTTGCATGGCCTTGTTTAGGGATTTTTAGTTTAGTTTGGTTTAGTTTTTTTAGAGTGTAAGAACTCATGGCTACTGCTGATTATTTTTGCTTGGCAAAGCCGTTGAGGGGTTAAGTGTACTACTATGTCAGTTTCAGGTGTAAATCTTCTTTGTTGTAGATTTGTAAGTATTAAGTGTATCTTGTGTTTAATTAAGGTATATTTGTAGCTGTTACTATTTTGTGTGTCTCTCTTATTGTTGGCTTGATTCATGCAATTTGTGATCTTTGTGTCTCAGTTTGTGTGTATGAAGTGAGGTGGGACCTGAGCATAGTTGATGATTAGTTTGAGAAGTTAGCAAATTTGACAGAATATTTTGTTGTAATTTTTATTTGAGTTTCAGCAACATTCTATAATAGGAAAAACCAATATTTAACATATACATTTGACAAGTTAACATATTCAGTTACATGTTATCATATTATAAAGAAGGCTGACATGTAATAGTGAAAGTTAACATATTATACTGAAAGTTAACATGTTCATAACATATGTAGATGAAAGTTAAAATATACACCTGATAGTTAACATGTTCACGTGAACGTTAACATATACACCTGAAAGTTAACATATACATATGAGAGTTAATATGCTCACGTGAAAGTTAACATATTCAAGTTAAAACCAATATTTTCAGCCAACATATAGAGAGTTAACATGCTCATTTCATATTATTAACATATACACCTGAAAGTTAACAAGCTTCATATTTCTTATGCCATGAATCAATTTCTCACACATGATTGAGTACACACCAAATTGTTGATCCTCCAGTATTATGATTTTAAGCATGTTTGGGATCACAATAGCAAATCACATATTATGAGGAGAGTTAACATGTTATGAGATTTAATAGTGTATCGTAACTTAAAGATTATGTACATAATCTAGGAGAGTTAACATGTTATGAGATTTAATAGTGTATCGTAACTTAAAGATTATGTACATAATCTGTATATATTATGTACACAATAACCTGAGATTTAATAGTGTATCGTAACTTAAAGATTATGTACATAATCTGTATATATTATGTACACAATAACCTCAAAATTATGACATATTATGTACCATAATATTCAGGTTTTTATTCACATAATTTATATAAAATCTCCAGTTTATTATGCGCATCAAGTTCTATTTGAATGAACTTGTACATATTCACATGACAGCCACAATACATTTCATATACAATCGTGTTAACTTTCACTGTTATATTTTAACTTTCATAATAATATGTTAACTTTCTTAAAAAAATTATGTTAACTTTCATCATTATATGTTAACTGTCCTCATAACATATTAACTTTCATCATAATATGTTAACTTTCACCATAATATGTTAACTTTCATTGTTACATGTTAACTTTCATAATAATATGTTAATTTTTTCTTAACAAGTTTTTTTAAACTAAAATTCGATGTGTTTGAAAGTTTCTTCATAATAATATGTTAACTTTTATAATAATAAATTAAATTTTAGTTCAAAGTTAAAATTAAAGTTTCTTCATATCCAAGATTTTTTCTGAAATATGCTCCACTGTATGAAATGTAATTAAAATTAAACTTTAATCCAAAGTTAAAATTAAAATTAAAGTTAACATTTCAGTTGAAAGTTACTATGTTTAGTTAAAAGTTAACATGTTATGATGAACATTAACATGTTCAATTGAAAGTTAACAAGTTATGAAGAAAGTTAACATATTATGGTGAAAGTTAACATGTAATAGTGAAGATTAACATATTATGATGAATGTTAACTCTCCTCGTAACATGTTAACTTTTAGCTGTACATGTTAACTTTCATCATAATCTGTTAACTTTCAATGTTACATGTTAACTTTTACCATAATATGTTAACTTTTTTCATAATATGTTAACTTTCAGCTGAACATGTTAACGTTCATCATAACATGTCAACGTTCACCATAATAAAAATTCTTACATTATTAAACCTGATATTGTTTGAATACACGATATGATTAGACTTACAATCTTAGAGATTACAAAAACCTTTAACAATGTGCTACAAAATTCTTAACAACCTCAAGATTATGTACAATTGTATGAGATTGAACAATATATCGTAACTTGAAGATTATATACATAATCTGCATATATTATGTACACAATAACCTTAATATTATGTACATATTATCGTAACTTGTACATATTCACATGACAACCATAATACATTTCACATACAATTACAATAAATTACACCAAAATTAATCACTAAATAGATACAATACATTTTATTAAATTTTGATCTAAGTACAACCAAACCATAAGAACACATAGTATAATCAACTGAACAATGAAATATGACATGTGACTCCCTAATGGCCTTGCACCTTAAGCACAAACCTCACCATCGGGGCCTTCGTACATGTTAATTTGTCAGATGTACATATTAATTTATTCATCTATAACATCTTTGAGGACTTTTTTTAAGGTCTGAAACAAATCTCAAATGGAGAGACAAGAGAAGGAAAGTAAGGTATCGCAACAGCAGCCGACAAGCATTATTGATCTGTCATTTTGCACCCCCACGCTAAATCATTGAGACCTGGGCAATCGACAATTGAATAAATCTCACTCTTGGTCGACGACCACCATGTTGATTACTACTAACACGAGAAGCACATCATGAAAAAGACGCTTACATCTGTTTGAAACTGAATGCAACCACAAGAGCAATTATACAAGTGTAAATTTACAGGAAAAACGAAAGCAATGTTTGAAACTGAATGGCAATATAAATGTTGGCAAAGCCATCTTGTTGGGTCCAGGACTCTAATACATAAATGCATAATTTATCACATGAATAGAGATCCAAACATAAAAGAGCATATATCTGGCATGCTATCAAGAAGAAACAACCACAAACAAACATCTGAAATAGAGAGAGTGTAGGCTGTCTAAAAATAATAGAAGATAGCTGATTCCCCATCAAACACTGATGATGGAAGTTACAATTGGACGACTTCCAGAAGGCTACAATTTGAAGATTTTCACATGTCAAAGGGCTAAAGCAAAGATTACAAAACGACGATCTTTAACAACGCTCCGACAGAAAGAGATTATAAATTGACGATCTCTTCAAACCAAGACGTGGAAACCCTCTCTGCGTACCATCTTCAATACACAACACCAATTTGATCACCTACGCCGCTTCAACAGCTATAAACACGAATGCAGCTTCTTATGTGAGATGATTGATCTTGATGGCTGTGACAACAACATGACTAATATTATGTTAGCAACCATTAGAGGTGTTGATGAGCAGTGTAATGATATTTGACACACTCAGTGGAGATCATGACCTGCAGTTGATAGAGCGTTATTGAGATGCCTCAATTGTCACAAATGGCCTGAATAAGACCTTCTTTACTGGTCTTTGGTGTCATCCATATATAAATACAGAGAAATCTAAATACTACAACAATCAACAGCTCGAACGCAGCTCCAATCGCTGCCAAGCACAGCTCGAACGCAGCTCCAATCGCTGCCAAGCACAGCTCGAACGCAGCTCCAATCGCTGCCAAGCACATCTCGAACACAGCTCTCCATCGCTGCTCAACGTAGCTCATCATCACTGTCGAACGCAGCTCTCCATCGCTGCTCAACGCAGCTCATCATTGCTGTCAAACGCAGCTCCAACTGACGTCGAACGCAGCTCAATATAGCTGCAGAACGCACCTCCAGATGCTGCGTTCAAACACAGAATTTAGGCCAGAATGCATGTCAAAGCTCTGACCTGTTCAAACACGATCCAGGCGGTTTCGAAGACCGCTCTTCACCCACGATTTGAGGAGTGGCTTAAGTGGGTTGTTACACCCGATTAATGGGGTAACTAAACCCCTACTTAGGTGCGGTCATATTTCCCAGAATCAGAGAAAGAGGATCAACTCTTTACACAGTCTGGGGAATCAACATCCAGAGAGGAGTTTAGGCATTAACTACTTGGCTTATTAACCGAATCATCTTCGGTTCAAACAACTCTAATACTGTTATTAGAGTCTGTTGCTAAATCACGAAACTCATCAAGAGTTATCAATCAGACAAGACTGTTGTTCCAGTGAGTATAGATATTCGGATCGTCAACGAGAAGCAAACTCGACGCAAGCATTCGAGGGAGGCATCTCATCGCTACCGTGAAGAACCCAGAATTAAACAAAGGGGAGAATCCAGATCATTCTCTTCTCTTTTGTAACCAGGAATCCAAATTGTAATCGAGAGTTGAGAGAGTTGTAATCATTCTTTTTCTAAGCAGTTAGAGAGAATAAAATCAAACGCAATTCTTTCCTTATATTCTTTTTATTACAAAATTTCCGACAAACAGAGAGTAATTTAATTACCAAACAGGCCAGTCAACAACAAACCACACCACTGCAATGGCAGTTAAATTTTCACGATGCAATGCATGGAAGCTACAAATTGTTACAGTACTCTAAACCATTGTATCCTCACATGAATTACACCATCGGTAGTTTCCCACCTGAAGAGAGCACATGAAGACCAAAATGCGTTTTTTCCATAATTTAACAAGGGCAAATAGACAAACCTCCTCACAATTTTTGGTTCAAATGAAACATAAGGGACCTTGACCTGCTGGTCTTATAACATTTTGATGCAGATGTGCAGCTAATTTTAGGCTTTGATCCCTCGACGGCGGTCGCCCTTCCGGCTCCAAGAACAAGCCCAAGCCCCCCATCATCGTCACCCGCGAAATCCCCACCTCCCTCAGCTCAACCCTCATCGAGATCTCCCTTTGGCACTGAGCTCGTCGCCGCCATCTCCTCCCTCGCCGTCGCCGCTAGCGCGACATCTCCGTCCTCGCTGCAGCAAGCCTCGTGGTCGGCGTCTGTCTCCAACAGCCCTCCGGTGCCGTCGTGACCCTCGTCTAGCAGTTTGAGATAGTTTGCTTGTCGGGGTTGTTTCTACGAGGGGATTGGTTTGAGCGTGAGAAGAGAGGAGAGAGAGGGCAGACAGTTTTTGGGTAATGGTGTAAGGGTAGTTTTTAGTTTTGTAAAAAAAATTCTCACTGTGCTGCATTGGGAATGTAACTAGGGCCTGAAACATCATACATTTATGTCTTTGGGGTTTTGGCACGCAAAAAAAAACGTGGGGCCTGGTGACATCCCTTTATTTTTTTGGGCATTAACACAATTTTCCCAAAAATAAAACACGAATTTTGGGGATCAAAGTTAAAGACTTTGGTGAACTTTGGAGTATTTAAGTGCAAACAACCAAAATCCGACCCGTTATCAAAGAAAAGCCCCAATCTGGCGTTCTCTCGTGTCCCCTCTTTCGATCCTCAACTCCGTTTTCTCCCGCTTCAGAGAAAATTCCCACTGCAGTCGAGGTAAATTTTGATTTCTTAAATGGGTTTCTCTTCTCTACTTTGTTTTCTCTGCAAGTTTTGGCCTTTGCCCTCTTTATCAGCTTTTAGCAAAGTTGTCGCCTTTGATTGCTTGAGAACTCGTGCCCGTAGCTAGGTTTTCAAGCTTGGCGACCGGGATTTCTTGGGTTTTTGCGCTTATTCTCTCTTGCAATCTTGCCCTTTCAGATCCTCGAATATTTTAATTGCATTAACAATATCTTGGAATCGTGGGTCTCTTTCTATTTCTAGTAAGCTCCTAAGATTTGGCGTTTACCAGAGTTTAATTGGATTGGTTTTGTAAAAACATACAAAATTTTGACAATCTCGGTATTGCTTACGTAATATCACTTAGAATTTATCAATTTCCCTTCTCAGATTCCTCGCTGCTGTAACAATTAGACCTTCAAGCTGGGAGAGATGCTATCTGGAATTAAGATTATACCGAGGGATCAACTTAATAAAGTACGAAACAATTTCTCTCCCGTTGATGTTTCTTCTTGTTTTGTTAACTGATATTTTCGTTGTTTTTACGCCTTTCTTTTACTTCGTTTGTGAAGGCGGATTCTGATGAAGAGATAAAAAGTTCGACGAAGAAGGAGAAGAGAGAGAGGAAGAAGAAAGATAAGAGGAGGAGTAGTAGGAAAGAGAGGGAGTACACTTTGGATTCTGATGACGATGGGTCCAGTTCTTTGCGGAGTGGGAGCGAGAGTGAAGAAGAGAGGCGGTCGACGAGGAAGAGGAAGGGGAGAAGAAAGGAGAGAGATTTAGAGGATTGCAGTTCCTCTGATGAGTATGAGAAGAAAAAGGGAGGAAAGAAGAAGGAAAGAAATGAATTATCAGGTAAATTTCTTCAAGTTAGGATTTTGTTGATGGAATCTCTTATGTGTGATATGCAAATGAAAATTGAGGAGTGCTGATGGGATAGAATAAATGCTCAACTATATACTATTCTTGTGAATGGAAAAAGCTGTGGTTTGTAGTGTTGTGATTTTTTTTAAACTTGTCATCAGCTTGTGCTTTGTCTTGTGAATTCACCCCTTTTGCTCATAGATGATGGAGATAGAGGCCTCTTTTCTCAAAGAGAGAAGGAACTTGCGAGGAAGGAGATAGGATTGGAGTGGATGCTTTACTCAGGACGGACAGTTGATAACAATGCAGTGAGAAATGAAATCGAGCATGAAGAGCCTCAAGTTGAAGAGGTAGGAGTTTTCCTCTCTCTACCAAGCCATATGATCCCTACTTGTATAGAAAAACACACATCTTGTGCTTTTAGTTTTCACAAAATAGGCTGAATTTGTCCGATTCTGACTAAATTTCAGCAGTCTTGAATTTTTTATACTCTTAAACGTTGATTTCTCTACCAAGATATTAGCAGTCATACTTCATGATAATATCAAAAGTTGCTTTATCTCACTCTAGTTAAAATCTATAATGAATTATTTAATAACATGTATTATTCTCCTTACTGTATCTTCATTATTTTACCAGGCCATGGAGTTTCACATTCTTAGATGATGTGCCATAATCTCTATTAAAGACCCTGTTTACATATTTCATATGGTTACTGCAAAATCTCTCGTTTTCATTTTACCTTTACATGTTGGTAAATATATTGGTTTAACAAATGGTAGTATCAGGTATCACATGCACAATTTGGTAGAACAGCTATTTTTGAAGTATCAGCCAGTGTTGTAAATAGCGGCCAATAGCGGGGCTATAGCGGCGCGAATAGCGGTCGCGGCCCTTCAGCGCTACGCGTAGGGGTTTCGCGGCTGGCTTAAGCGGGAAAATCCGCTATTCATTCGAATAGCGCGTAAAAGCGGATTTTAGCGGGTTAAAAGCGGGTTTTCGCGGTTAAAAGCGGGTTTTCGCGGTTAAAAGCGAATTTTCGCGGTTAAAAGCGGCTAAACCCGCTAAACCCGCCACACATATTATGATGCTATATTTCTTGAATTTCTTTATAGTTTCATTCATACAACAAGCTTATTAATTGTTATTTATTGATAATATAAGAAATTTACAACTAATTGAATTTTTAGATTTTTTATGAATTTTCTTATTATTTAGGATATTTAAATATATTTAAATTTGATCGCTATTTGACTGTGCGCTATTTGCCGCGATTTCGCCGCAATAGCCCGATATAGCCTTAGCGGTACCTCGCCGCGACGCGCCGCGATCCGCTATCAGCAACCTTGGTATCAGCAATATCAACATATATCAGCCATATAGTGGATTTTAAGAATGTCAATCTAATAGTTAATGTCATCAATGTTAGCAAATAACAACTAACGCATACCAATACCAGCTAATGACACAAAAAATCTACGATGCTAGGTAGAAAAAATTGATTTTGTAGTGTTAGATTTGGGAGAAAAGAATCCCATGAATGAAAAGCTTGTGATTAAACTCTTTAGTTATTCATGTAGTGTTACTTCTGATCTAAGTTTCGAGACTTCCCATATCTATGCAAATAAAGGTGAATTTAATTCATGAGTCATACTGAGATTTAAACATTGCGTTGAGGCTTGAATCATACGTCATAATTGCAAGATGAAGTACTTAACTTTAAGATGTAAATATGACTTCATGTGTCTAGATTCGTGTTTTTAAAGCTCCCATAAATTTTCCACATGAAAGTCTATAGTACATCATAATTACGGTGACAGTTCAGAAACAATTATTAAAAGTTAAAACATAATATTTTCGAAGGAGTGTGAAGCATAATAAAGTTTTGAGCGTTGATTGTAATCATGTGATTTAACAAATTTTCTATGAAATCCCGCTATTTCTGCCTGATGATTGAATGTCTTTCATTTGCCGCTCTTTAATTATATTTTAATCTACTGATTATTGGGATATAGGTGGCTTGGGATGTCTATAAAATGTCAATATCTTCACCCTTCCTGTTCCTGTTAGAATTAAAAGAATCCATGGTAAATATTATGTACGAGTTTAGTTAAGGTTGAGAACTGTATACAATAGTTTGCCTTCATAGTTAAATTTGAGAAAATACTTGTAGAGTGGCAAAACTTTAATAATGTTATACCAGTGATTCAGTGAAAACTTGTTAAATTATCTGTCTCATCGTTTGTGATTATTCATTTATAAGAATGTGATTACCATTTTAAATAACTTTTCTGTACTTTGGGACTCTTAGTATTTCACATGCTTCTTTTTTTTATAAGTATTTCACATGCTCTTGTGATATTTAAATTACTTTTATCATAAATGAAGAAACTTATTATAAACAGGCTTTTCAGCAGGTGGTTAGCCATTCCTGTCAGAATAGGTTCAGTCAGGAATGACAAGCTTCACAAAAAGGTGTTTAGAGTTTCTTCTAGAGCATTGGTCTACCTGACATCAATTATGAACTTACTATATTTTTGTTCCAAGGATCTTGCCAGTGCAACTATATCAAGTGAGAAGCCTAGGATAGTTGATGGCTGGTTGGTAGCCTAACATTCTTTGAATATGCCTTTAAATCTTGTAAAACAAA